CAGCTCCTCCGTGTGCTGAAGGCTGCACGTCCCATCCGGGGAAAATCATCCGTTCACCCGCCTCTGAGTGCTGCGGGCTGGGATGTTTCCGGGGCAGCCGTCTCCTCAGCAGCGCCTACAACAAAACGGCCCATTTCACCAGACTCAAAGGCCCAGATCGCACTAAAATCTGTTTTATTTATGTTGCAAATCAAATACAGATTTTCCAGATTCACAGGCTCAGTGAAACGGACGTTTAGTTTAGTCACCTGGGGGTCTTTTACAGGTCCCGGGGGTCTCGGTGCGTGTAGTTCGGAGAGGCTGCGCTGCCATTCTGAAACAGTTTAACAAGTAAAATAAACACTTCTTATTGATATTTGAGTATCTAAATGTTATGGCGGTGCTCTACCAACCCGTGGATGGCTGACCACCAGAGGGAGGATGCCTGGGAGATCCTGAGGCCATGTCCTGCATCATCACAGTTTGGTCAGAAGACCTCAACAAGCTTCAGAAACATTCTTTTTTTTCTTAAATGCTTCTAAAAACATTTTTAAATGGACGGTTTGATTTTAGATCACATATAATACTGTCAAAATATGTTATATTATGATCTCGGTTTAAGCTCGTTTGATGGCGTTTTATTTTATTTTATAATGCTCCAATTTTCTGTGTTTAAAACAATAATTTAAAACCCAATTTGAGCTGGTTTGTAAAACAATTCACCTGTACATGATTCTTATCAGCCAGAGAAGCTTCTTTCTCGCTAAAATATCGTAAAACTTGATAACTTCTGGATTTTGGGCTCCATGGTGCCGTAAAAAAGCCAGCCGCCCGGGGCCGTTTTTGGGGATAACGTTTACCGGGACACCGAACCGGAAGCAGAACCCACAGAGCTAAATGTTCGTTTGTTTTTTTAACAGCGGCTTCAGCAAAATGTTTTTAAAAAGTTTAACAGTTTCCAACTATAATAAATAAAAATACCGTCATATTTCACGCCATTCTTTCCTGATTTGGACCTTAAATTGTACTCAACCGTGATTAAACTGCTAACGTTTTTATCTTATTTTAGTGCGAGTTTTCTTGCATATATATAACTACCTAAAACTTGTAATGCTAGCTAGTCTCAGATTTAGAGTCTTTTTTTTCTGTTGTCAACTTCCATAGGAGTAACTTACCTGTATATATTGTCAGCCGGAGAAGCTTCTTTCTGGTTTCTTGCTAAAGTTTCGTTTGAACCGTTTCTGACCTCACAAACCTTCTGGATTCTGGGCTCCAACGTGTCGTAAAAAAAACAACCGCTCGGGGCCGTTTTTTTTTAACGTTTACCGGGACACAGCGACCGAACCGGGACCAGAACCCACAGAGCAAAATGTCTTTTTTTTTAAAAAGCCGCTCCAGTAAAATGTTTAAAAAACAGTTTATTTACAGTTTCCAACAATAACAAATAAAAAATACCGTCAAATGTCACGTCATTCTTTCCTGATTTACGGCTGTTACCTTAAATTGTATTCAACCGTTAATAAGCTGCTAACGTCCGTTATTTTTCAGTATCTAACACACACATCTATTCATATTATGTGTATATGAATAATTTAATCGAAAACAAAACATATAGATAAGTATATAGAGATTGTTTGAGACGGAGGCATTGTGAATGATAAGGAGTAGCGATGGCCACACTCTTTGGATGTGTGCAAATATAATCTGAGATCAAAGATCTTTTTCCATGTGTGGCTCGTTTGGGAGCTAGTTAAAAAGCTAAATCTGTTTGAGTGTAAAACCTACTTGAAAATCTTCCCCATGAGCAGAGCCACATTTTAATCAATTTAAAGGAACATAAAAGTCTAAATAAAGTTCCAAAATGGCTCAGCAAACATGTCTAACCAGCAGTGAGGTCCAACTCATGGAAGAAGAGGAAAAAGTAACGAGACAACAGCTGCACAAGTCTGTTTATTAGAAACTATCAGTTAAAAGAGGGCAGGGCCTCAGATCCCTTATCTGAGGCCTCAGCTGTGATTCTAAACAAAACACACCAAAAGAAACCAACAGAACAGGTTCTTTAATCCCCAGCATCCTGGTGATTTACAGTGTTTTGTTCCAAAGGAAAACCTCTGTGCGGCTCACAGATCTGTGACCTGCATCTGTTCAAGACAAATGTTTTCAACCGCAAATGTGGGAGGAAATCTCACAGAGATGAACTCGTAAAAAACAGACAGAAAAATCATTCTTTGGCTTAACTTCAGATTGAAGCTGGCGTTTACGTTGGATTTTCCGGACAGATGGACCCTGAGGGGTCCAGATCAGACAGAGCCAGGCTTCCAAAGGGCCCCAGTCTGAACCCTGCAGCTTAAATAAGACACATTCAGGTTGAGCATTAAAGCTGCTGGGATCTCAAAGAGAGGTAGCATCAACGTTTTTTGCATAGTTGCATTTTCTCTCTCTAATAATCTTTTTTATAAAGGCACGGTTTGAGGCAGAAAACTGAGAGCACAGAGATGAATTTGTCTTTCTGAGGCTGAAACTGAGTCTGTGCCTCTTATCTTCCATGTTTCAGATCAGTACACACAGATCCTCCGTGCCTTAGGCAGAGCAAAGTTTCTCTCCTGAACTCAGATTGTCAAAGGCAATCTTATTTTAGTCCTGAATCTACACAATCTTTCACACAAGTGCAAACGTATCAGATAACACGCACCAGGCCCCTTCCAAATGCTTAATGCGAGCTTGGTAACGGGAAGTGCTTTAAAATCAATGTTTAAGTCATCAAAGTTAGGTCACGGAGGAAATAAACCGAGAAATTAAAACAATATTACAGCATCAAAGTTTTTCCCAACATACATTTTTGTTCTTTTTTTTTTTTTTTAGCTTTTCTTTGATTAGAAAGCGAGTTTAGATGGCACTGTGCGGCCTGCTCCCCACAGCCTGCTGAGGGCTCTGGCTGTTGATCCTCCTGTGGAGGACACAGACATTAGGAACCCAACCCGACCTCATGGAGGACCCACTCCCCCGAGGCGCTGAGACATTAGGAACCCAACCCGACCTCGTGTGTCAGCCAAACAAACCAAGCCGGGTTTTGTGCCGCTTGGCTCCACTTTGCGGGTCCGTGGGACCGGCCGGCAGCGAGAGGACAGACCAAAGCGGAACAATCCCGGCTGGACGGAAGCGACTTCAAATGAGAGCTGAGCATTTATGATCCGTAATCAGATCTTTCCTGAACAACATATCGGCCAACACTCAGCAGTCTGAATCTCCCTAATCTTCCACTCTGTAAACTATTGCTTAATTTAATGCTTTATGACAGACTGGCTAGTGTTAAAGTATTAAAAAAAATACTGGCTACCTTCATGTTCAGGCAAAGTCTGACAGCATAGCATGAGAAGCAGAGCTATCCAGTACAGCGGGTGGAAAACCTGCAGCCATCCTTCTAAAAGCAGAGGTAATCTCCCTTAGAGGAGAGAGCAGAAGCTCATCTAAGAACAGGGAGGGAAGCCTGGGCTCATTTGTTTCAGCCTGGGAAATATGTTGAGGTCCGCCGAAACCATTCATCCCAGAAAGAAAAAGGAAAAAAGGAGCCCAGCCTCCGTTGAACTTTGGTGCATTGCACAAGCCGAGCTGTGGAAAAAGGGTGGATGCTGGTTCGATTTCCATGTGAAACCAGGACGAACCACATCCTGGTGCCATTTTCAGGCCTCGTGTGTTTGGTTTCTATTTGACAGAAAAATTCAGCTGCACAACTGCCCTGCAGTTGGTTCAATAATAAGGATTCATTTAACTAATTCTTGTTTCAGTCTGATATACAAAAAACTTGGAATTGAGGGTAACCCCCTTAATTTAGTCTATTCAAACCCAACAAGTGTGATTGACAGGGCAAACTTCATGACTGTCGGTAAAATGTCAGATAAACAATCCAATCAGAGCTTCCTCACCTGTTTCCAGGTGCTTTCAAACCTGAGAAAAACTGAACTTATGGGACTAAAGTCTCACAAGGAAAGGTCTTCCTTTGACTAGAAAAAAAAGAGAAAGATAGGCTGGATACAGTTGCCAGTCTAAAGGGAGAGAAGGCCTACAATGAAGTGCTTTTTCGTGGAGAAAGAAAGAGAATCCAGTTAAAGAATAAGAGCTTCTAGAAAAGCCAAGAGGAAATATTCCCCCTAATGTGGAAATCATATCTGTAGCATCTTTTTGCTAATCTTAAGCATAAGGTCTGATTCTTCCTGCTAGATTTGTGAATATTATCATATGACACCTGAATATGAGAAAAATATCAGGTGGAATTGAATCTCTGACATCTTGCTGGCATCTCTTAACTTTTTTTTGGTGTTGTTGAGAGACAGAAAGAGTAACTGAAACGTTTCAGTTCTTCTCCTCCAGTAATAAAGTTTTTAGCCACCTGCTACAAAAAGCAGATGGCAGAAACTGCTCAGGAAGACTCAAATGGATGAAAGCAAAGACTGACATGCAGCTTTGGGTCATTTCAAACTGGCTGATG